CAATCTGTGTTACAGTAGCAATTTAATTTTCATTCATGTCTAAACTATGGATGATTTCCAAGGCTTTGATTTGCATATAGTTTATTATAACCGAAATAAATTCATTAATTCATTCCTTGATGCTATGGAAAGCAACATAGCTTTAAAGTCAGACAGCCTTGGTTTCTAATACTGGGTCACTCCAACAGTATTGAGACAGGTTGTTATGGTCCACTATTTCACTCCCGAGAGACACAGTTGACAGAGTTCTTCCTGGCCCACTCATGCGAGTTTCAGCTTTTCAGCTTATCAGTGTTGCTGGGAGGTCTTCCTTTGTTTCTGTCTGCCTGTATTTAATGTTTGTTGGTTTTTGTGTATTCTAAACTTTCATAATGACGCACATATAGGGTGAGGGACCTTGGGAAAATTGTTTAACATTTTAAGTCTCAGGCTCCCAATTTAAAAATGAAATTGTATATTGTGTACCTCGCAGGGTTATGCGGAGGGAGAATGAGCCGAGTAGGTAAAACACAGCGTGTACTTGTACTGTGTATGTCTCCCTGTCTCCCCCTCAAGGGTACAATTCCCCTTTTGTCCTTGTGACCTGCTTCCTTTGTATAACTGATTATGAAGGTCATGACAAGGATAACGGTGATCCAGTAAGGGGCACTGTGGGGGAATTTGAGTGGAACTGGGTAGGAAAAAGGGCTGTTTCTGCATAGCAACAGGAAACATGGTTCCCTAGGCAGTAGTACATTTTCTAACTTTAGAAAATAACGGCGTTCTACAGACTATGGATAAACACAACTTCAAGGAGTGTCCAGAGAATTACCCTGAGTTAAAAAAGGTAATCTCAAAAGGTCACCTACTATATGGTTCCATTTGTATAAAATTTTTAGAATAACAAAATTTTAGAAATGGAGGATTGATGGGTGATTGCCAGGGGTGAGGACTGGGCAGGAGAGGAGGCTTATTAAAGTGCAGCTGGAGGGATCCCTCAGGGTGGAACTGGGCAGGATCTGACTGCAGCAGTGGGTACATGACTGCACAGGCGGCAAAATGAATACCCCCACAGGAATGAGCAGAAGCAAGGGGAATAGGAGTGAGAGTGGTAGATTGCAGTAACACTCACTATCTTGGGTGTAATAATTAATTATACTATAGATTTGCAAAATGTTACTGTTGGGGGAAACTGGACAAAGTGTATATGGAGTCTCTCTGTGTTGCTTCTTCTCTGTTGTCTCTGTGCTACTTTATAGTTATAAAAAAATTAGTTCAGTGCTATTTGGTACTAAATGCCTTAATGAGCTCTACTTTAAATTTTATATCTTGAGAAAATAAAGCATTAACAAAGGTAGTATCTGTGACTCTGAATAATCCTCTGTGCCCTCCTCCCCTGGGACATCTGCCTTCTGATAGAGAGACCCTTCTTCTGAGGGGGGTATCTGTCTGACGCCTTTGTTCCCACGGCCTAATGCGTTTACTGCGGATGGATATGATAACTTGTCAACTAACAGCAAACGGGAGCTCTTTCCAGGCTGCCCAAGCACTGTATACATGAAACTTTTCACTTAAATCTCAGAATCCTGAAAAGTAGGTGCTGTTCTTATCTCTACTTTGCCTGTGAGCAAGCAGAGGAGTAAGATTTGAAAAGAAATCATATAATCCTCCTCTTTGCTGTCCTAGGGAATTAGGGCTTTAGAGGTATTGGCCCTATATTTTTTAATAATCATGGTAAAATACACATAACATAAAACATACTACCTTAGTCTTTTTTTTTTTTTTTTGAGAGTCTCAAGCTGTTGTCCTGGGTAGAGTGCTGTGGCATCATAGCTTACAGCAACCTCCTACTAGGGCTCAGGCAATCCTCCTGCCTCAGTTTTTCCATTTTTAGTAGAGACAGGATCTTGCTTTTGCTCAGGCTGGTCTCCAACTCATAAGCTCAAGTAATCCCCCCACCTTGGCGTCCCAGAGTGCTAGGATTACAGGCATGAGCCACTGCACCTGGCTCCCTTAACCATGTTAACGTGTATAGTTCAGTAGAGTTAAGTGTGTTCACATCTGAAGAACTTTTTTATCTTACAAAATCTATTTCTAAATTTAGATGTTTTCATATAAGTAAATTCATACAGTTCTGACTTTCTGTGACTGGCTTTTTAACTTACCACAATGTCCTTCATCCATGTTGAAGTGTGTGCCAGAATTTCTTTCCTTTTTGAGGCTAATATTCCGTTGTTTGTATGCACCACATTTGATTCGGCCGTTCATCCAACTGGTCACTGGGATGGTCTCTACCTTTTGGCTGTCATGAGGAATGCTGCTGTGAACTTGGGTAGATAAACATCTCTTTGGGATTCTGTTTTCAATTCCTTTGGATACATACCCAGAAGTGAAATTGCTGGATCATGGCATTGCCCTTATTTTGAAAGCCATTTAAATACCAACCACATCCTTAGGGATCGCTCATCTGTAGCTTATTCCATTTGTTCTAGAATTGGAGATGACAAGGTAGCAAGTAATAGAGGAAGTAACGGCTAAGTACAGAAGTGTTTTCTTACTTTAAATAGTAACTACCTGAGAGGCTGGAGGCCTGTGGAAGACCTCATAAAATTATAGCATGTACGATTATATACAGTAGAACCTCTGCAAGTTGGCCACTCAAGGGTGTAACAAACTGATCATACGGAGGTGGTCAGCATAAGGAACTTCCATTGAGTACATGTGATACATGTTTGTTCTGTGAAAATTAGGTCAACTTAAAGAGGTGGTCAACTCTGGAGGTTCTACTATGTTTGATTTTAAAAAGTCTTTTAGGCAAGGTATTTTTTATTACAAATATTTTATTTAGTGGGGAATATTTCTGGTAGTTGTATTTGTGTGTGAATGCTCATCTTAAAAAGAAAGCCTTCTCTGTTTTAGGTTAATACAAAAGCTGAACCAGCAGACAATATTACAAGTTTCCTGTGGCAACTGGCATTGCTTGGCTCTTGCAGCTGGTAATGTAACATTAAATATATGCTAATGCTATGTTCATTTTGAAAACATTTCTCTTTGCATTTTTGTGTGACATTATCTAACTCAAAGCCTTTAATTAACTGGTTAGGGTCTGTGCATTGCTGTTGGACATGACGATTCCCAGATAGCATTTGTATAGTTTTTCCTTTTCTCAGGGTGCGGGTGATAAGTGGGTGGTCGTCAAAGTTGCTGCCGCAGCTCTGCAGGGAAAGGTGAGCAGAAGGAGGACCGTACTTAGGTGTTCTTGAGCATCTAGGAGATTGGTTTTTCTTAGCTACAACCTACTCTTAAGCAAATTCCACTGTCAAGCTCCTAAATAAATGAAAAAAGAGGAGTTAAGAGAAACTGAAGCTAGCAAATAATACAGAACTCTCTTTGGAATAGATGTGTACTTGTGTGTCCTGCTTGATCATGTGCAGAGTAGTCCAGGTGGTCACAAGTGGTGACCCAGCCCAGGTGGTTTGAAGTCCTGGGTGTTACGGTCTTACTGTGGTCAGAACTAGTTCACTTTGCTCATGTCCAGTAATTGCCCTGTTCAGAACTGAGTTTCCTGAAACATTGGATGTTTCCTTTGCATAAATGTTGATAGTCTTTGGAGGGCAGTAAGACTCCCCTTGTGTCTTTGTTGTCAGAGGGATGAGTGGGAGCTTTGATTTTGGCACTGTCACAGCATGAAGTGTCTCTGCTCCTTTGCTCTTAGGTAGGATATGTGCAGGGCTGTGGGGAAACTAGCAAATTATCTTAATAACTAGTTAATTTTTATGTATAGAACTTGTATTGTTCTTTTGTAATACCAGTTATCTTGTTCTTATTTCAGATGGCCAGTTCTTCACATGGGGAAAGAACAGCCACGGGCAGCTGGGGCTGGGGAAGGAGTTCCCTTCCCAAGCCAGCCCGCAAAGGGTGCGGTCCCTGGAGGGGATCCCGCTGGCTCAGGTGGCTGCTGGAGGGGCTCACAGCTTTGCCCTGTCTCTCTCAGGAGCTGTGTTTGGCTGGGGGATGAATAATGCAGGCCAGCTAGGGCTCAGTGATGAAAAAGGTAGGTAAACTCTTGGTATGTACAATGCCTCTTCTGTTCAAAAGCCCATTCATTTGATCAACACGGGCTTCTTATGGATCCATCCATAAGATGTGTGCTCTCCCCCTCTTGGGCATGAGGGGGACAGTCATGAACAAAACAGAGGACATCTTTGTCTTAGTGGAGACTGCATTGGAGTGAGCAGAAGCAAGCATCAAACTGGTAAATGTACAGAACGTCAGAGAGTTTGAGAGTATAGCTCCCTATTTTACATAAGGTGGTCAGGAAGAAAAACTTGAGCAGAGCCCCGTAAAAAGTCAGGTAGGAAAGGAAAGGTGGCTATCTGGGTGAAGAATGTTCCTGTCCCCAAAGGGAGCAGGGTGTGCGAAGGCTCTGAAGTGGGAAGAGGTGTGTGGAGAGAGCAGGGGTCAGTGTAGGCCCAATTAGGCACCTAGGGGCAGGGTGAGGATTTGGCTTCTTCTCTTGGTGAGAGAGGAATATGCTGAGGGTTTTGAAAAGAGGAACAGTCACATCTGACTTTGGCTGTAGTCAGGCAAGGAAGAAGCTGGAAGACCAGTTTGGAGATTGTGGGAGTAAAATTGGGTTTTGAATGTATTTTGAAGATGAGACCAGGCTCGGCTCCTGTGGCTCAAGTGACTAAGGCTCCTAAGGTGGTGGGTTCGAATCCAGCCTGGGCCCGCCAAACAACAATGACGGCTGCAACCAAAAAATAGCCGGGCGTTGTAGCAGGCACCTGTGGTCCCAGCTACTTGGGAGGCTGAGGCAGGAGACTTGCTTGAGCCCAGGAGTTGGAGGTTGCTGTGAGCTGTGATGCTAC